GCACTGCCAGAAGGCGGCGCCACGAGTCATCAGGCCCGCGGACACGGGCCGACGGCACGACGACAAGGAGAAGGGCAGAGAAAGCAGCGGGGGGATGAGAGGGATGGGAGGACTTGGGGAACGCAAGAGGTGTTGTGGTGGGACGCTGGCATGGCGGAGTTCCGCGAGCTCTCGTCGTCAAGCCGCCGTCTACCCCTCCAGTCCTGCGGGAGGGGGACCAAGCCCAAGGTCGGGGGAGAGGCACGGGAGCAGGAAGGCGGGGACCTTGCCGGCCCTTCCCCTGGACAGGGCCTACACTCAGGGACTCTTCTGTGCGATCGAGCCCCAGGAGCTGGTCCTGCCTGTTGCACTTTCTCTTGCGGCCGCTTCCGATGGCTTGGCGCAGGTACGGCTTCCCGACCCACTGGCTCTGCCTGCTGCACGCGTTCCGGTGGCTGCTTGGCCTCGTAGAACGTCCCGCCCCACTGGCCATACCACGTCTCGACTGGTGTGATGGCTGTCTGGAACCCCGTGGTCTCCGATGGGGTTCCACACGCTTTGTGGTCGCACGCATATGGGGTTCCACACGCAAACACACACAAGCAAACAAACAAACAAACAAACAAACAAACACACAAACCAACCAACAAACACATACGCACACACACACACACACACTCGGGGCGCCAGTCAAACAAACACACATGTTTGTTCCTCCCCCATCGATGTGCAGCACGATCGCGCTGCATGCGAGCGAGCGGGAGACGCAGCATGAACTGCATCTGCACGTGTGGCGAAAGCGCACACACACACACACACACACACACACACACACACGCACACACACACACACACACACACACACGCACGCACGCACGCACGCACGCACGCACGCACACACACACACACACACACATGTTGTTCCATGAGGCGCAACCAAAGAGCAAGGGAGGAAATCAGGTCACAGCCCGTGGGGAGAGACTGCCACATTGTCCACAAACTGGGTTACGAACTATGCGGTTTGCCGTCGTGATGATGGACATACCCGTGACAATTATTGCCCGGGCGAGCGTGCGGAGCCCCGACACCGACAATCGATGAAGAAGAGGAGGATTGGGACGAGGAAGACGGGGAGCAAGAGGAGCTCAACCAGACAAAGCCAAACTCGCGAAGTGCGCAGACCAGCCAGGGCATAGCCTGGGACACCCGCATTTCAGCCCCACGCGAGTAAAGGAGGGAGGAAGGAGGAAGTAAGGAAAACCAGCGAAATGGTGCACACCCCATTGAAGCTGCCAGAAGACGTCTGCTGAACGCGGGTTTTTCCCTACCTAGGCTCTGCCTAGAAGGGTTCTCACTCTCTGGGCTTAAAGGGGCCGGGCAGTGGAAAGCGCCCCGGGCGGTTCCCCCAGTATCCGCCCCGCGGTTCCCCCAGTTACGTCCCCTTAGCTTAGCGTTGCTTATCTCATCTTAGCTTAGCGTATTTCATCTTAGCTTAGCTTAGCTTCATCTTAGCTCAGGTTTATCTTAGCTTAGCTTACCTTCATCTTAGCTTCGCTGAGCTTTAGCATAGCAGAACACAGCATAGCATACCATAGCGTAGCATATCATAGCGCAGCACAGCATATCATAGCATAGCCCAGCATAGCATAGCATAGCGCAGCATAGCATAGCATAGCATAGAATAGCGCAGCACAGCACAGCATAGCATAGCGCAGCATAGCATAGCATAGCATAGCAAAGCATAGCATGGCATAGCGCAGCTTAGCATAGCATAGAATAGCATAGCGCAGCACAGCACAGCACAGCATCGCATAGCGCAGCATAGCATAGCATAGCGCAGCATAGCATAGCATAGCATAGCATAGCGCAGCATAGCATAGCATAGCATAGCATAGCATAGCGCGGCATAGCATGGCATAGCATAGCATAGCATAGCATAGCATAGCATGGCAACTAATGCTGCTTTCCTAGGGGCTCCAACTTCTAGGTAGGGTCGCATTGGGGAAATGTCTTGTCTCGGGCGCGCACACACACACACACACATACCCACTTCTTGACGTCTCGGCCACGCGCGCAGCGGCACAGCGGAGTTCACGTCGGGCGACAGGGGGCACGAGGGGAATGGGCGAAACTACACACACACACACACACACACACACACACACACACACACGCGCGCGCGCGCTGGGCGTCGCGGCCTCGCGCGCAACGCCGAGGCGTAGAAGGTCGGAATGTGGAGCCGCGCGCGCGCGCGGCTGGTCAGCTCAGAAGCCAGGGGCGAGGACCCACCCGAGGGGGCCCACCGTGCCATGCGCACGCCCAGTCGTGGGCTGCGGGGGGGGAGAGCCGAAGGGAGCGAGGCGGTGCCAAAAGCAAGGAGCCAAACTCTATACACCGACGCTTTTTCTGGCCCCGCACTGGAACTCGCACAGGAAAGCGGATCCTGAGATATACGGGGTCCTGGTGTATTCGTTTCTCATTGTTTCCCTGGGAAAACGGAAAAACTAGTGTACACCACACCATTCCGGCGTCGCCCCCGACCCTCCAAAAGTCCTGGGATGGAAACCCAGACACGATCGCGTCGTAAACAAAACAATCAGGACGGGAGGTTTTTGCCCATTTTCGGCCTCGGGGGGGCCCTCACCGGGCCTCGGGACCGTTCAAAAAGACTCGGGGCGAAAACCCAGTCCTGGGGGCAGGGTCGGAACGTCCGGGGACCCCGTACTTACAAAAGAAGGACGTCGCACGCCTGGGAAAACAGCCCGCCACTGGTAATGCAGACGCTCCAGCTGCCGAAGAGAAGGGACAGGATCGGCGGAACGGGTGGGGCAGGGCGAGGCGCAGGGCCGGCACGGGCATGGCCGGAGGGGGCAGAGCGGCAGGTCCGGGCAAGGCAGGCGCAGCAGGAGCGGCGGAGAGGAGGTGCAGGGCAGCCAACAGGGGGAGCGGGAGGAGGCGAGGAGGAGGAGGAGGAGGAGGAGGAGGAGGAGGAGGAGGAGGAGGAGGGGGAGGGGGAGGAGGAGGAGGAGGTGCAGGAAAGCAGGCGACCGGCGGTGGAAGTGGCGGCGAAGCAACCCTGGGCTGGAGGCCTGGGGTCTGCTCAGGGGAGAATTGAGCCAGCGGCGCAGAGGGTCCTCGGGCGCGGGCAGCAGATGGAGCTACGAATTGCGATCGAACACTGTCGAAAGCACAGGGTACGAAGCGTGCGCACTGTCAATGCAGCGATGGGTGGTGAACAGGAGGAGCTGCAAATCCAAGCGAAACGTGCAGCGGCCAAATAACCGAGCACTGCACACACACACACACACACACACACACACACACACACACACACACGCACACGCACACGCGCACACGCACACGCACACGCACACGCACACGCACACGCACACGTACACGCACACGCACACGCACACGCACGCACGCACGCACGCGCGCACGCGCACGGGGATCCACACGCATGGCCGACTCTGGAAGCCCTGGATCCAGAACTGCTGGCGTCTCGTTTTCACGTCCGCTGCCCACCACCCATCGGCGGCCAGCCCGAGGAGGAACTGAGAGGGTAGGAAGGCACCAACTATACACCAACACCGATCCTGGCCAGGATCACCCTGGGCCCAGGATCGGTGTATACGGGAGGGGGCCCTCTCCGAGAGGGGGCCCTCTCCGAAGGCTCGGAAGTCCTCCGGCCCTCTAAGACGTCCCCGAAGACACAGAAAACTTCTTGGGGGGCCAGAGAGGGCTTCCGAGAAGCCCCGCCGCCTTCTGAGGAGGCCTCCTCCTTTTCATTTCCCCTCCCCCCCGCTCGCCGCCGAGGCGCAGCTGCTGGCAAGCATCCCGAAGCTGGGAAACCGCCGAGAACTGACGACAACTGACGACCTTCCGCCAGTTGCCTTCGTCGGACCCGCCGCCGTTTTACCTCAGCTGGCTTCCGCTGGCCTTCTGCCAGCCTCCGCCGAGAGCGAGGCGGCGCCGAAGGCGAAGCCATTTCTGGAAGGTCCTCCATAGCGTTCCACAAACACTGGGTGTCGAACGAATTGGGCTCCACACGCTTCGGGTCCCACACGTGTTTGCACGAGTGAGCTGTCTGGTGACCGCGCGCTAGCAGCAGTTCACTGGGAGGACTGGGACGACGGACTCCTGGACAGCCATCGCCACAAAAATAAGGAACAAACCGAACTCCTTCCCCGTGCCAGGACATTCCGAAAATGACACGGGTGCGCCTGGATGTGTCCTCTTTTGTGGGGCGCGCGGCGACTTTTTATCATCGTCCAGCTTAAGGAAGAGGGCATGAAGAGAGGGGGAAGATGAAGGAGGGGACGAAGGACGTGAAAAGGGCACCGATTTGCACGCCCAAGTGGGTACGGAAATAAAAAGGGTACGATGCCCAGCATGACCAAAACCGACAGCGGCCGCTGTTGGGCAGGCGACTGTCGGCCTCAGATGGACAACGCCCGCGGCGGCACCGACAGCGAGTCCTGTTCAGAATGTGTAGGAACTGCTGTCGGTCGTCGCCCCCTTTTCTCTCAGGACCCGCCTCGATCGCACCGAGCTCGGGGAGGAGGGAGGAAGGAAAGAACGGAAGAGGGAGGAGAAGGAGGCTCCGACCCGGCCCGGCCGGGCGGCACGCCCAGTGGGCCACGCCTCCCGTGGGGAGGGAGACGGGAGGAGGGAGGGACTGACCGCGAGGAGGCGCGAGGAGGCTCGAGGAGGCGCGACGAGGACGAGGGGGACGAGGAGGGCGAAAGGACGAGGAGGGCGAGGAGGAGGACGAGGGGGACGAGGGGAACGAGGAGGGCGAAAGGGCGCGGAGGAGGAGCGCGGCTTCGGCACCTGTTGTGCTGCAGCAGCAGCGGCCCCGCACACTTCGGGCGGGGGGGGAGGGGGGGCGCCGGCCTTGGCCTTGGCAGCAGAGGCCGTTGGCACCGGCAGGTGCTCGACGCCTCGGCAGGCGGCAGCGCGCGCCAGCGGCCAGCCTTCTTCCCACCGCCCCCTCACAGCCCACATTTCACACACACACA